CTCAACCACGCATGGGGGATTTGCCTCCTTCTCGGTTTTCTAAAATTAAACCATTTTTACGAGTTGGGGTGGACTACGCCGGCCCCTTTTCTATTACCATGGCCAAAACACGCATAAATAGACATAAATACGCTAAAAGCGTATTTATGTCTATTCATATGCTTTGCGACGAAAGCTCTACACTTAGAGCTCGCCTCAGATTTAACCGCCGACGCCTTCCTAGCGGCGTTACGACGCTTTCTTGCGCGGCGAGGGAGATGCCAGCATATCTATTCCGATTGTGGTACTAATTTTGTTAGTGCCCACAAACAATTAGATCAATATATGCGCGAAGCTGTACAGTCGGAACAGATTCATTGGCATTTCAATCCGCCATCAGCTCCACACTTTGGTGGTTTGTGGGAGGCCGGCGTCAAATCGGTAAAGACCCACCTAGTCCGTGTCATAGGCCACCAAATCTTAACCTACGAAGAGCTCTTAACGTTAGTCTCTCAGGTCGAAGCAATGCTGAATTCCCGTCCGCTTCATCCTGTAAGCAGTGACCCAAACGACTTGACCGCACTGACTCCCGGCCATTTTCTTACGTTTGCCCCTTTAATTGCACTCCCAGAACCGGACCTTGAAGACGTGCCGGTGAACCGCCTAACTCGCTGGCAGCTAGTTCAAAGCTTTGTCAAATGTATTTGGTCGCGATGGAGTGCCGAATATCTCCATACATTGCATCAGCGGTCGAAATGGTCTTCCGAGAAACCTAATTCTATCGAGGTCGGATCCCTCGTCCTTATCAAAAACGAGGTGATACCCCCTCTGCAGTGGCGTCTCGCCCGAGTCCTACTTCTCCATCCGGGACAAGATAGCATAGTTCGGGTTGTCACCTTGAAAACCGCCGGTGGAGTCCTAAAGCGCCCAGTGGCCAAACTTTGTCCACTCCCTGCAACTTTGCAGTAAAAAAAACCCTTTTTGTTTTTTTTGGTGGGCGGAATGTCTCGTCCCCAACTCAATATTTATTTAGTTTTAGTTTAATTTTGTATCGCTTGGTGCAGTACTGCGCCCGCAACCCTCGCTACACTGGTGGCCGATCTATTGCGGCCCCTTTTTGCTTTTGGTGACCGCTTGAGTAGCAACAAGTCGAGTGGACTGGACGCGCATTGTAAAGTCGTAGTCGTACCGGCAGCGACATAACCCGCCATCTTGTCGTTGATCCCGCTTTATGATTCCCGCTATTCTTATAACCCCGCTATTGTAGTACCCGCTATTATTATAACCCCGCTATTGTTGTACCCGCTATTGTTCTAACCCGCCATTGTTGTACCCGCTATTGTACCCGCTACCGCTATAACCCGCGTCAGGGCATAACCCTATTTCGCGCGCACCCCCATGCCGAGTGCTTCCGCCAGGAGCACCCCAGCCATCACCTCCAGGCCAAGATCACTACGAACCACAGCTCGGAAAGTCCAACTCATCTCACTCTGGTAAGCTACAGTCAACTAGCAAAACACACCAATAGAGGGCAGATATGTCGTTTTTCCGCTTGACAGATTTTACGTTACATCAAGCAAGAATAGTGTCACTTCTGAGTTCGTACACGAAATTTCATGACGGTTAGTCAAGAAAAACGACACAACTTAAAACAGTACCCTTTTGTTGCAGGAGGTAAGTTAATCTTTAATAATTCTAAGTACGTCCGAAGTCTAAAAGTGTCACTTTTATTTTATAAATACACAAGTAAATGATTCATTTTCTAACAGAAAAGATAATCAACTTTTGAGATAGAACAATTATTGTACTTTGGACCCAATTTTCAATTGATCACTATTTCCCTTAATATTTTTCTTAGAAAATGAGTGTCACGTTGTTTTATTTCGTGTTGAGTCAATTTCTAGTTGTTTCGTTGACATTCGTAAAGTTTGTAGAATTCAGAGTTGTGTAATTATGCTTGATGCTCTGTATTCATTATTACAGAATTGTAATAGTTAATTGATTATGCATTTTGTTTTCCTTTAGACCAATTATTATGACTACAAGAGGGAAAAAAATTGTCAATGCTGCTCTGTTACAAATGGAATTAGCAAATAGAAAAAAAGATAAAGGTGAAGAAAACATCAACAGTGAACACACAATCGATGAAATACGTTTAGAACCCGCTTTCGACGACATGATTGACGATATTGCCAAGGTTCAAAACGAGATTGGAGAAGCTGCAAAAGATGAAGCTGAAAAGCGAAATAAAACTGAAGTAAACAAATTCTGTAAAATGTCACCGGAAAAATCCTGTGAAAGTACAATTTTGAATGTAACAAAAAATCTAAACCAGATTGAAAAAACAAAAGGTTTACAGACTGCAAGTGAGAATGTTAGGAAGTTTAGTCGGAATAAAGAAAATAGGAGTCCAATCGATCCTCAGAGTCCTCAATGTTCATTTTGGAAAAGTTCCGGTATTAAACATGGAACAAAATTAAAGTTAAAAAAAATTACGAAAACCGGGAAACAGCAGGCATTTGAATCCGATGACTTTTTCTCGGCAGAAAATGGTGATGATTCAGACGCAGACCCGGATTTTAATGGTACATCAAATAATTCTTCAACAAGCGACAGCAGCTTCTATGAAGAGAAGAAACTGACGGAAATAGGACATGAACGTGGAAAACGCAGTACGGCTGAAGATGTAGTTGTTGAGGAAGAAGTTAGAGTAGTACTCAATGAACTAGCAGAAAATCAAGATCTGCCAAAAAAAACGAAAAAGAGAAAAGCAAATCTAACAGAGTGGAAAAAAGAAAAAGCAAAAATTCTTAGAAACAGCGGAAAAGGTTACCTTTCATCTGCAAAAGTTCCAAAAGAAGTAAGAGGGAGGGCCATTCAGCAACCTTGTGGCGACAAATGCAAAGTAAAATGTGCAAATAAGATCAGTCAGGATATGCGACAAAGAATATTTGATCAGTACTGGAATCTAGCAAATCTTCAACTGCAGCGAGAATACATCTCCAAAAGTATGAATGTTGTTCGGCCCGCGTATAGGTACCCGAGAGAAGGAAGTCATCGAGGTTTGAATCATGCTTTCTATTTCACAATTTCTGGAAAACTCATACGTGTCTGCAAAATGTTTTTCAAGGCTATACTAGATATAACCGACCGGCCAATCAGAACGGTAATTAAAAAAAATACGGATGGTTTTGTAGCTGCTGACCAAAGAGGGAAACATGGAAAACATAGAGTATTAAATCCTGACTTGGGAGCGAGCATTCGTGAACACATCAATAGTATACCCAAAATAGAAAGCCACTATTTACGAGCCCAAACCACAAGAGAGTACATCGAAGGCGGAAAAACAATTGCAGGATTACATCGTGACTACATGGAGCAATGCATTCAAAACAACGTTTCTTATGGAAATTTGACACAATACTCTAGGATTTTCAATAATGAATTTAATTTAAGTTTCTTCACTCCCAAGAAGGATCAATGCGAGCTCTGCGTAGCTTATAACAATGCCCAAGATGCAGAAAAATGTGAACTCAAAGAAAAGTATGAGACACATCTCAGAGAAAAAGAACTGTCTAGAGAACAGAAGAGAAAATACAAAGAATTAACAGCAGTAAATAAACGTATTATACTGGCAACCTATGATCTCCAAGCAGTTCTACCCGCTCCACGTGGAGAAGTTTCTGTTTTCTATTACAAGTCCAAAATTAACAGCTATAATTTCACAATTAGTGACATGCAGTTCAAGAATGTCGCATGTTACTTTTGGCACGAAGGAGAGGCGAACCGGGGTGCAAACGAGATCGGGACATGTGTGATGAATTATATAAAACAGACAGCTGAATTACATAATGATGAAAATGTCGAAATGATCTTTTTTTCCGATAATTGTTGTGGACAACAAAAAAATAAATTTATTATAAGTATGTATTTGTATGCAGTTCAAAAATTTACTGTTAAATCGATAACCCACAACTTCCTAATAAAAGGACATACTCAAAATGAGGGCGACAATGTTCATGCTGTCATTGAAAAATCTGTAAAACAAGCTTTGAAGTCAGGACCAATATACCATCCAATGGAATATGCCAGAATAATCCGCTCAGCTAAAAAAACAGGTGTACCTTACAAGGTAATGGAAATGTCACATTCAGATTTTACAAACCTGAAAGATCTTGCGCAGCAGATTGGGCCTAATTTTAGCAAAACTACTGAAAACGAATCTATTAAAATGGGTGACATTAAGATCATCAAAGTTTTGAAGGACGAGCCTGGTGTGATTTATATAAAAACATCGTATGAGCAGGAGTTTTTTAAGAAAATAAATGTTTTTGGTAAACGAAAGCATCCAGTGAATTTCACAACGCTGAATTGCAAACCAGCATATTCAAGAAAAATTAATATTCCCGACAGAAAAAAAACCGACATACAGGATCTCATAAATGGGAACCACATTCCTAAATTTTATGAAGCATTGTATAACACAATTTTAAATAAATTAATGGTTAAATTAGTAATTTTAATATAAGGATAAGGTGTTATTATAACTTTTTCACAATAAAAACGTGTTTTTTACGTTTTATAAATATTGTCATAAAATCTTTCACAACCTTCCCTCCATTAGGTATAACTTGACAGTGATAAATTTAGTTTTTTTTTTTAAAGTGCTGCAGAAGATGATAGAGTTTTGAAATATTGAAGCGAGAAAACTGACACAACTAGAAAAGAAAATGTCATAAGTCAGAATATAGAATATTGTTAAGCAAGAAAAGTGACACAACTCAAAGTACCTGGCTTATTCTACCCCTGGGAAACATCTGGTTAGGAACAATTTTTATATTGTCTATTATTACTATAGTAATAGTAGAATTATAAATGATTATAATAGCAATTGAGCTCCCAGAATCAATAAATGCCTGGTAAGCGCGTTTACAGTTTAAGCAATTGGATTTTTGCTAATACTGACAATTTATGTTTTTTTAGATGTGACGTTATTCTCGCCGGAGTGCGACATACTGATCAAAAAATTACCGATCAGCTTAAAAGTAGCGATATTTGGAGTGGTAATGTTTTATATGAAGGACTATTTAGTTTCTGAAAGAAGATCAAAACTATGGTGCAAAGAGAAAATGGAAATGTGGAATCCCAGGCGTCCACTTCATTGACAATTAAAGAAACAACTGATAAAGACAACAGATTAGAAACACAAAGTAACTTATTTTAGGGTCGTTGTTCGCTAGCAATGCCAGCGCTGTATAAACAACTTGACAACGTCGCGTACCTTGTCCAATTTGACAGTTTGAAATTGCCGCACAAACGACAATTTAACTTTTCAGTTTTTTTCTGTACGTAATAAGGCAATAATTGCAAAAGTAAGCATATATGGCAGTTTATTATCCCGTTCGTATTTATTGGCCGCGTTTACTTTTGACGTAGATGTCCGCAAAAAAGGATAAGCGTGTCAGAGGGGGCAATTTTTCAGAGGAGGATAAGACGTTCCTCGTACAATTTGTGGTAGACAATGCCGATATTTGGGAATCGAAAGCGAGCGATCCGCGGATTAACATAAAAAAACAGCAACTGTGGAAGGCATTGGCCGAAAAATTCAGGGCACGGGGGCAGTATAGAGAGCCAGCAAAATTGCAGATGCTGTACTTTCGTTTAAAATAGCTTGCAAAAACAACAATTGCAGCCTACCAAAGGTCACAACATCAAACAAGTGGCGGTCCTTCCACTCCCGAAGATCCAACAGACTTTTGGACTGGATCATTGCAGATATATCTGCAGTAGATTTTACTGCAGATGTGTCTGCATATGATTCCGAGGGGAAGACCGCCACTGAAGTTGTCAGAGCTGAGATAGCCAATGCCCCCGAAGAATGTACGGGGCCAATAGATCCCATAGCGGGAGAAATTGAAATAACACAAACGTATGTAATTAATTGTATATTGATAAGTTAAAATACAATATAAAATATGTTTGTAGTGTTCCCGAACCGTTGCATGCAGAAACACCTTCCTTGTCGCCGTCTGCAACACCAGTGAGGCCAGTTGCGCCTACCACCCATAAACGAAACAAACGCAAAAAGCCTATGAGTGAATTTGAAGAGAGCATGCTCAAGTTGCATGAGCGACATATAGAACAAAAAATTGAAATGGAAAGAGACATTTATTCCAAAGAATTGGAACTTTTAAATTTAAAAATTAAAGCCAAAGCGTGGGCACCGGCAAAGGAGAAGACGAAGTATGTATAACATAGCCTTGCTTATAGTAAAAAATAATCGGGTGTTTTTTGTATGTAGATTGTATCGGCCCTTTTCCTGTAAGATCGTCAAACTTTCGTAGTGATTTTCCGTGCTAACACATCTTCAAAACCACATTGGAAATAGTATCCGGCACTCCGGCAGCAGAGCAAGTGCCTGTGACAACAAACCGGCTGCACAATTCCCGCTATTTTTGCCGATTAGGCATACTTTCACATTCAAGCAGATAACCAATCGAGTGAAATTCAAGCCATATCAACACACCGGGGGACCTATAAAATGAATCGTCTATCTTTCGGTATCAAAACAGCCCAATCAGAGTTTAACCGGATCATCGATCAAATTTTGCGGAATATACCAAAAACAGAGAAGTATTTTGACGACATATTAGTCCACGGTTCAACCAGAGAGGAGTGACAAATGAACTTGATCACCTGTTTTACCCAGCTGGGAAAATATGATCTACATTTGAATCACCGTAAGTGTTTGTTTCTTCAAAAACGTATCGAATTTCTAGGTCACATCGTTGAGTTAGTAGAAATGCCGCGACCAAAATCAAAAGAAGAAATTAAATATTTTCTTGGACTCTTAACATTTTACAGCCGATTCATTCCAGATGCCTCAACAATTACAGCGCCATTGCGACATCTGTTGAAAGACAATGTTGTTTTCAAATGGACACCAGAATGCGAAACGGCGTTGGTGAAGTTAAAACAAGAAATCGTGAGTGATCGAGTCGTAATGCCATTCAATCCAGGTTCAACTCGCTTGTGACGCTAGTCCCACAGGTATCTCAGCCGTTTTGTCATACATAATAGACGATCAAGAAAGACCAATTGCTTTCGCATCTCGTTCATTAACCCTTACGCTCCACAATCTCACAATTGTGTCTAATATTTGCTATATATAAGGGTTATAATGTGGTTATAAATTGGTAAATCCCGCATCGCATGATTGTGCTAGTTCGGAGCTATGCAATGGTATCCAATTTCTTGGAAATTTATTGTTTTGAATAGTCACAAGACGGTCACTTTTAAACTCACAACTGTGTTTTCGCTTCTGCCATGGCCGCCAGAAGTAAGTACGTACTTTTTTATTAATTATTACACAAATAATTAGCAAATATGTGTCGCACTCCTTAAGCAAAATGTTGAAATAAATGTTGGTATGTGTTAAAAAATTAATTAATTTTTAATAAGGCTCTAGAATGACTTCGTTTTTTAAAATGCACAATTGTGACACGAAGGAGTCAACACGTTGTATTTGAATAATTATCATCCCTAAAGCTAAAATATACTACTGTAATCATTATTTGAAATGTTTAACTTACAGGATCAAAATAAATTATTAACTTAGAAAACCTGAGTGATGATCCAGATGCCATATTAAATCTTCTAGATGAAATTGATTCTGATTTAGAGCTAGGTGATGATGATTCTGATTGGGAACATGAACCAGAAATAAACAATTCTTCCGACTCTAGCACAGCTTCAGATACTGATGACGATAACCTTTCAAATCCAAGCGGTGTAGAACCTATTGCACAAGCGTCCTGGCAAAGAAGATATTTCACTTCAAAGGAAATTCCTCATTAATCTGTTCTGGCTGCCACCGAAGTTTTAACTCCATGGGCTTACTTTAGCAAATACTTGGGAGAAGATTTCTTAGAATTGGCGGCAAATAAAACCGGACAATACTATTTACAGAAAACAGGTGTAGAAATGAAGCCTTCTGTAACATCAGAAGAAATAAAATAATTCTTTGGAATTCATGCTGTCATAGGATGTATTAAATATCCAAGAATACACATATATTGGAATAAATTATTTAAGTTACCAATAGTTGCAGACGCAATGGCTCGTGACAGATTTTACCAACTTAGAGTGAATTTTCAAGTTGAAGATAATATGAGAATTAGCGAGGAAAAAAAAGAAAAGCAGACTTTGGAAATTGTAGATTAGTGTCTTCTCAGAGTAGGTGCAAGAATAAAATGTGTCAAATGCAATGTATACTTGTGCCTTAACAAAAATCAAAATTGTTTTATTAACTTTCATTAAAAGTAAAAGTATTCAATATAGGTAACTACAGCTTTACTCCCTACACCCACAAATGTGACAGTCGCACAATTGTGTATGTCTCTCTTACACTCCAATATATCACAGTTGTGCTAGTCCTGAAAATCCTTTCATATATTTTTCAAAAAACGTACAAAAATTTTTGAACGTTATTCAGTACAATTCCAAGCAGACAAAATCCAAGGTTTAAGCCGGGACATAACATCACCTTGCAGCTAGCAAAAATCATTAACGACATCCTCGTCAACTTCAACCAACAAAAAGTGACAGTGATGACGTTACTTGACTTAGAAAAGGCTTTCGACAAAATGTGGATTAACGGACTAATTGTAAAAATGAAGAAATACGACATCGGCGGAAATTTCATCACCCTCACTGCGTCATACCTAAAGGTGAAAGTAAACAATGCAATCTCCCAAGAAAAACAGTCAAAGCAGGCGTGCCACAAGGGCCAGCACTAGGCCCCGCCCTCTTTAACCTCTACACAACGGACCTGCCCGAATTTGCAAAAACAACCACGGTATTATACGCTGATGACACGGAGATTTACGCACATTCGTATTACGCGGAAGCCGCGCAACTCCAAAATCAAGTCCACCTGAACATTCTCATCCCATACTTCAAAAAATGGAAAATGAAACTGAACCAGACCAAGAGAAAAGCGATAAGATTCACTAAGAAAAAAAAGGACGAACATAAAGCCATCAAAAAAGCTCACAATTAACGTTCAGTACGTCACCACAAAGAACACGGTCAGATATAGTGGTCCAATTCTGACTTCGTTTTTATGGCACTGCAATCTCAATTACCGCAAGTATTAGGAACTCTATTTAAAATGTAAATAGCCGTGCCATAAATCATCTTAAAAGGTTGACGGGCGCATATGGCCCTGTATAGTGTAGACAGTTGGTCCCTTGATGGTTTATAACCGTTAGATTACTTGCGGCAGAGGCCTATTGCGGAACACTTAATTCCTTCACAATAGGATGCAGTCATAAAAACGAACCAGCAGTTGGAGCACTATACCTGGACACCAGATTGAATTTTAAGCAGCACGTGACTAATTCCGTCGCCAAAGGCAATGCAGCCATCAGGACCCTTTACCCTCTGCTGGTAAAGAACAATGCCGTCAGCATCGAGAACAAGATTACGATCTACAAGCAGATAATCAGGCCGCTCGTGTGGAGTCATCTGTTTAATTGTGCAATGGAACCACTCGAGGTGGTGCAAAATAAGTGCCTAAGGATGGCACTCAAAGTTTTGCGATTCACGAGAGTAGCAGACCTGCAGGAGGCCGCCGACATCCCGCCGATCAAGAAGTGCATAAAGGACCTGGCCACAAATTTCTTCTTGCGCAACCACGACATAAAATACATTCAAAACATAATCAATTGTAAATTACCAAACATAAAACACAAGCTCATGCATGAGCATTAAGTGCTCATTCACAGTGGGCATAAAGTATAAGCATGTCCTAAGCATTAATGCGTAAAAAACTATGCTTAGCGCTCTATGATTTTCTTCGTTCACAATGGCATAAAAACTTTTGTATGAATTGATGAACTGTGCAAGCCAAGGAGGTTTAAATGTATAGAGAGAGTATGCCGTATACCTTCCATATATCAAAGTGTGACCAACATCTCGCGAGTGAGAGGAGTGAGGCGCGAGAGGTTTATTGTACCACAGTACAGTGGCTGACGAGTTTCAATTTCATACAATTTCAAGAAAAACAAAAAATATTGGTTTTTAAACAAAATGTGTGGTTACCACACGTTCGCGTATCTGGTCTTTGCAAACTTCCACTAAAATCTAGAACAATGACAATGTATTAAAACTAATAGGCAGCAGTAAAATCTAGTTCCGCCACTGACTCGCTCAATTGCTTATTCGTCAATTCACGAATGTGTACGAACACCATACGAACAGCAGAGGGTTTGTATATGTGCGATATAAAACAACGAGCTCAGTACTCTCTCTACATTCTCGATCTACGCATCGACCTAGCAGCATGTCTGTTAGTCGCGGTCCAAGTCGCGGCGACGCACGTTCACCATCCGAGCCAACTCGCCCCAGAGAGCCCCATCACCACAACAACAACAACATCAAACCGACGCCAACACGCAGCAGCCAAACGGTGAGTCGAAAACAGTTTCTTCTTCTGCTTCCTCTGCATGTAGCAGTCCTTCGGGACGCGCCTCCCCCGCACAATCTGCATCGACATCTAACACCCAAAACACCATGAACTCCAAACCCTCCACCGCATCCTTGTCAGCCTCCACTCAAGCGGTGAAACTCAAGTTTCACCTCAAACACATCCCCGAGAAAGTAGCCCAACAAAAAACCTTCTACAATCTCCTCGTCACCCATCTTAACGTGCGAGGAATCCATACCCTTATCAAACTCCTCCTCCTGACCTCCTCCATAAACTAAAAACAATCACCTGCAGCAACATTGAGCTTATCGCTCTCAATTCCCCCAAAATGCCCCGACCACCATCCGAGAAAAAACACGCCGTTTTCTCAGTTGTCATAAAATCCGTAGATCTAGGTACTAATGAACAAGACATTAGGACCGAACTTGATCGTCGCCACCTCCCCTTCAACCTAATTTGGCGCCTTAAGTCCAAAAAGACTAACCAATTCACCGCCCTCATAAGAGTGACTTCCTCCGACACCACCACTATCGATTCCTTGCTAAATCAAGAAATCACCCTTTTCAGTGTGAACGGTCCCACCCCCCTACCCCCATCCCAGACTAATGTTCACGTTGCTTCCAACGTGGGCATGACAACACAAACTGCCCCAACCGCCTCATCTGCCTCACTTGCCCTAACAGCCACCCTCCCGGCAAATGGCCAACCACTGACCCCAAATGCCCCTTTTGCAAAGGTAACCACCCTGCGTGGTCCCTAAAATGCCCCAATTATAAGGAGTTCGCCGACGAAACTCCTATAATGCCTCTCCACATAATAGACCCCCTCGAACTCTTCGCCGACCCCGTCGAGTCACCCGACACAGTCGTTCCCCCAGACCCTAGCATCATCCACCCCAAACAGCTCGTGGCCTACCTCACCGTTGTCCTAATGGACTTATTCCCCCTTCAACGCCCCCATATCCAAGGAGTGATCGAAAGAACCTCCTCATCCTTCTTAAACCTCCGCACTAATATCAAGCCGTCTGGCAACAGACTCCATTTCACTTTCGATGGCTAGTCTACCGAACGTTCCACGGGGTGCTGCCGACCCCAGCCAGCACGCCGCCACAGCTCCACTCCCCTCCCCCGTGCCAAATCCAGTGCAGGACGCCCCCGTCATATCAATATCTCCGCCCTTAACATCGACGGAATAAACCGCAAATACCATTCCCTTAAACACTTTATCGAAACCGACCAAATTCAAATCCTGGCACTGTCGGAAACCAAAACTTCCCGCCAAATAAAAATGAATAATTTCACAACTTATCACCGCCCCTCCAATATCCGAAACGCTCGAGGAACAGCACTGCTAATTTCATCTAAAATACCTTCCTCGCCCCACGTCTACCAGATCTCGCAGACCTCGAAGCCACTGCCGCAAATGTCTTAATCCACAATCTCTCAATAATCATAATTTTTTATTACAATCCCTCGTCAGAAAACATATCAACCCCTCTGCTGCGATATTTCTCAAATCTTCCAAACGCCACCCTACTTGGTGACTTCAATGCAAGACACAAAGACTTCGGCGATCATGATTTCAATAGAAATGGCATCACATTAGTCAATAACCTCCTTAACCTCCCCATCTACCGCACAAAAAATCGCCAACCCACCTTCATAAACCACCGCGGCTCTGCAATCATCGACCATATTCTCGTCACCGAGACACTAACTAACCCCTCTAATAAACGACACCTGCACAATAGGCACGACAGTAACCTCACTCCACCAACCCCTAACAACCTAAATTCTTCTGCCTGCCCCTCCTCCACCCCCAACATATGTACCCATATACGACTTCAAACACGCCGACTGGCAAAAATTTAAAAAACACATCATAGTAAATCTCCCACAAATCAACCCAACCCGCGAACCGTCCTGCAGAATCAAAATACAGAACACCTTCTCAGATCCCGTAAACATCCTTGCCGGAGTCCCACAGGGCTCCGTACTTTCACCCATTCTGTACTCTGTATACTGCAGAGCCTTTCCCTTTGCAGACACCCCCAGAACCAAGACGAGGATGTTCGCCGATGACACCGCGTTCTGGACTTCACACCGAAACTCCGAACGAGCCACCCGAATTCGAAAAAACAACAACAGCCCTATACGCCGACGATACCACCCTGTATGCACATTCTTTCTACGCCACAGTGGCACAGGTACAGAATCAACTGCACATCAACAAATTGATTCCCTATTTCGCCGAATGGAAGATGAAAGTCAACAAAACGAAAACGGAACATTAATCTTTACTAGGAAAAGAACGAACATAAAACCCTTCGGCCAACTGAAGATCGACGGACACCCCATTCAGCCAGAGAAAGTAGTCATGTACCTGGGATTACAGCTGGACACAAGATTAAATTTGAAACACCACATTAAAACGACCGTAACGAAAGGAAACGCAGCGATCAGAATATTATATCCGCTACTGGCCAGAAACAGCGCGAACTCCGACGAAAATAAACTTATACTTAATCTACAAGCAAATTATCCGTCCCCTGATAACATACGGAGCCCCAGTGTGGGGCCACTCTTCAAAT